TGTCTCCCAGCTCCAGTATAAAGAGCAGAGCTACAAGGCGACCCCAGTCAGCACGACTCCAGAGATAGAGAGAGTGAGGAGAAACCAGGAGCAGCTGAGCATGGCAAGTTGGTTCTGCTTTCTCTTATATTTTCACCAAGCCTGACCTCCTTTCGTTCTTCACAACACTCTGAAAAGCTTTCAACTCTCTCCATCTTGGGATGCTCCTTCGCACATTCACATCTTGAAAGGCATGCACTGTGGCTTTCCTGTGTGAGGCCAGGGAAATTTGGCATGGTGCTTCTATAATTCATGCATGTTTGTTTATTCCAGGATTCTTCATTAAGCCTTCCTGGTGTGCTATGTACTGTTCTGGTCCCTGGTGTACAAGGATGTACTCAGTGCCTGTCCTCACGGATCTCATAGTTTTAGTTGGCAAATCTCTGAAAATACACCCAGGTGAAGGCCTGATCGTAGTTGTCAATCTGAAGGGGGAAAAAAAAATCTATTGGAATAGGGCCAAAAATGACCTGACTTGACTGAGGTCCTAACATATAATATTGAGGCCAGGACCTTTATAAAAAGAATGAAAAACATTATTTAATCATTCAAGAATCTATTGCTAAGAAAGCAATGAAAATTAACAATTGTGATTATTAGTCTCTAACATGGGCCCTGTGCGAAGTTCTCTATATGAGCCCTTGAGGTTGGCACCATCCTTAGGTGTGGGAAACTGAGACTTGGGGAGGTCAGAGGACATGTTGGACACCCAGGGCTTGTAAGGGCATAGAGGTGTTTGAATGCAGGTCTCCCAGAGTTCAAAAATTCCGGTCAAAGATGTTTCCCAGTAGTTCTTTTTTTTTTTTTCTGTTTTCTGATTACTTTATGGAACTTTTACCAATATAAACACTCGCCTTCTTGTAAAACAGTTAAGTCTTTAGAAAGACTTCAGGAGTTCTCACTAATGGAAGAGAAAATTGGGTGGAATTCTGCTTTATTCTTGGTAGGTCTCCAACTTCTTGTGAACATGGAGTCCCAGGGTTAGAGAAACAGTGTGTAGAGCAGCCATAGCGACTTCACTGTAATTCTCTGTATTTCCATTACTTTGTTTGTGAAAGTTCCTATCAGTTTTGATATTGCACAGCAAAGTATTTATAAAAGTATCATCTTTAAGGACAACCAACTCTCTGTGCTTGCTAAATAAGATGCTACAAAATCCAGGTAGAGAGTGAAAAAGTTTGCTCATATCTACTATGGAAAACATGTGCAAAACAGTGGGGTTAATTTTGAGGCTCATCCTTTCTGGTACTTGGGTAGAAGTCATTCTGCTAACTATGTCATTCTTGTTTATCCTCCACAGGTAAAATACAAGGGAGAAATGAAACAGGCGACAGCCATTTCTGATCCACCAGAGCTAAAGAGAGTTAAAGAAAATCAGAAGAACATCAGCAATGTGTGATCTTAGCAACTTTCTTCTTATGAGAGCTAACTTATTACCAATATGTCAAGGGAGGGATTGCATTTATAAAGTTTTCAAAACCTTGTGTGATATCCTGCTCTCAGTTTACTACCAGTTTATTTGAAAGGTTTCAGGGTCTTAGGTTCGGGGGCGCAGCCACGCTGCTGCTGCTGCTCAGTGGCCAGCAGTGTGATTTGTCTGCAGGTCATCCATCACGTGTCCCTTATCTTCATGCTGTGGCTGCTGTGGTTCTCCAGAGTTCCAGGGTAGTAGCCTGGGTGTCTTGTCCCTACAAATAAGTTTTCCCATCATCTTTCCTACCTGGATGTTTTCTTGCGTTCTGGACCTCCTCAACCTCCTCTCCAGGTCCCAGCTAGTGTCACTTTATTTTTGGAAGATGTCTGGGGGGAAGTGATAAAGTGTGCAAAGTGAGTAGGCCATATGGGCTGGACCATGTGATGGGCACTTGAAGAGGGGCTGTCAGTTTTCACTTCGTCAACCCCTGGTCTGCTCTAACTTTCTTCTGTTTATGCAATCCATGGATGTAGTTACTGAGAGAAGCCTTTTTTGAAGTCATTAACATATAGATTGGGTTCTTTGGAAGAGGAAATTTGGAAATCTATTAAGTTCAAAGAAATCATTTATTCTTCAAACTTTTATAAAGTCATTTGACCAGATTATAAAGCAAAGACAGGTTATTGTTTGGCACTTCTCTTAAAACTGTAATTTGGAGACATAGATGCTCATCTCTTCCTGCTGTATTCAGAGTCACACTTGATGTGACTCCATTACTCTCAAAAAAGAAAGTGGGAATTGAGGAGGAGGAATGGAGTAATGGGCAGCCTGCCGGCCCTTTGATGGATGACCATGGTCACCTACTTAAAAGCAGCCTTCCATAAGTTCTGCCACATTTAATTTGTAAGCCACCACAGCGTAGTGCTGTTCTAAAGCCATAGGAATATCTGAAAGTAATCGACGGAGACATAGCTTACCCTATCTCTTCATGACGGAATGCTGACTGCAGCGTTCCTGGTGTATGTTGGTGCATCTGCAAAATGATTGGACCCATACACACATCTATGGGAGGGGTAAAGTAGTTTGTGATGCAAGGTTTGTAATTACAATAGGTCTCTAACAGTACCTTCTTTTTTTAAATTTTTTTTTTTTTTAGCTAGTCCTTTAAAGTGACTACTATAAGATACATATGTAGTTGAATTGACTCACAGTACTCTTGTTTTCTGAAATGATAGGTTTGTTATAAAAGTCAGTTGGGAAGAGCCACGGCTTTAAGTGTAACTCCTGAAATGGAAAGAGTAAAGAAGAATCAAGAAAATATTAGTTCGGCAAGTGTTTTTATTAATATTGGGCTATCTCAAAGGATGTGGCCTTTATTGTTTACATGTCGTCTTTTTTTTATCTTGGAAAATAAAACCAGTTTTTAAAGAAGCATTTATAATATAAGCATTTATAATATAATATGATATGATATGATATGATATGATATGATATGATATGATATAATATAATATAACATAGTCAATAGGTACACACATTATTTCAGATGATTTCTAAATGTTGCCCTATAAATGTATATTTTGTTTGTTGGTATTTTCAGATGTGACAATTACATTAAAGTTTAGTGTTAAACTAGATCACATTCATTTAAACAGAGATTCATGTTATTTTAGCCAGTGTCTTTGAAAAGACTTTGATGCATAATTTATATGACTGCAATTTTATGGATGTAGCTTGCTAAATACTCTCTGTACAACCCAATAAGAAATGAGTCATTACTCTAAAGAAAGGGAAAAAATCTTTAAATACATTTAATATAGAAACCAGCTACTATTAAAGTCTGTGGCACATATCAGTCTTATTTGGGTCATGTGCTTCTCTCAGTGGCACAAATGCCCTCGGGTCTGCGATAATCGGTGTCCTAATCTTATCCTGCATCAGTTTCACAAATAGCAGTGTTCTGATGATCAGCTGTCAAGAGGGGCTCTATGCAGGGGATCAGCATTTAGGTTTTATAATTCATAGTTCCCTAGTGGCATTTCTGTCCAGAGGTGCTGACTATATCAACATAAATTACCTTTAAGCTGGCTGCTTAGAGGAAAACTAGATTTGTTCTTTATTATTTCTATCCTCTAATAAAGTGAAATAAAGGGAACTAGAGGAAGGTTGGTGTACCCTCTTTGACAATGCTATGGTGGGAAATAGGGAAACAGAAACAGGAAAGTAAATTTAGGTCCGTTAATTTTGGATTGTTTTTGCTGACTGTAGGTATGATAATCACTTTTACTAACTGTATTGTTAGTGGCTATTAGCTACTCACACATTTGTTTTCAGTTGGTAAAGAGGCTTAGGTCATTTTTGTTATAGTTTTTGAGAGCAAAATTTTAAGTTGAGATCCTAAAACAAAATAACCTACTGAATGAGCTCCATAGGAAATAATTCAGAATGTTTTTGGGAAGCTTGAAAAGTTACATAATTTTTTAATTATAATTGTCTTCTAAGTATGTCTGCTGTTTTCTTTTGCAGGTAAAATATACACAGGACCATAAGCAGATGAAAGGTAGACCAAGTCTGATTTTAGATACACCTGGTCTGAGATATGCCAAAGAAGCACAAAATCATATTTCAATGGTAGGGTACAAGCAGCATTTCGTGACTAACGTGCACTAAAGAATGACACCAATGAGTGTACCCATGGCTTAATTCACCTTTAATCTGGATCACTAACAAAGCATGGAAATGAGGAAAACCTATAGGGCCTGCTGAAATGTAATGGAAATACTTAGTCTAATAAAATAATTTTTCTCAGTGATTTTTTTTGGTGTGGTTTTTTTTCCTAACGCGACTACTATAAATGCATCTTGTGAAAGACATTTGCCTGTAATTTTTATCAATTAATTCTAGATGGAGTTTGGTGTGTTCACATGTTGTGGAGAATATTAAAAAGGCGTTTTTAAAAAAGTTTCATGAGATCTCATGATAAAGTACACCCATTGAAATTGTATGATTGAATGATTTCTATAATAATAGATAGTTGAACACCACCTTAATCCAATGTCAGCAGATGTAAAATGTATGCTTTAAAGTAAATGTGTTTTGTAATTATGTACAAAAAGTTATATACATGTAATTAACTACAACTTTCCAAATCTAACTTTATATAATACTTTTTTGAATAATTGTATGGAAATAGCTTGTCAATTTATTGCATACTAAAGTTTAAGAGATAGGAAATTAACATATAGCTAAATTTGTATATTTGGGAAGTAACCAGGATTAAAAAATATAAGTTTTCAACCATCTTACGGATATACAGTCCTCTATACAATTTAAAAGAACTGCTAACCATATGATGAAAAACGTGAAATGATCTGTTCTCCATTTCTGATGCCAGGAAGCTGAAGATTCAGGCATTATTTTCTGAATAATTGGAAAGTGCACATATGTAGCAAATAACCCTGATGTGGGTCATTCAGTGAAAACCACCACTTTATCAAAATCAGGACATTCCAATTTGAGTCAACATGATTTTCCTTTTTTTTTTCAGGTAAAATATCATGAGGATTTTGAAAAGACAAAGGGGAGGGGCTTTACCCCTGTGGTGGATGACCCAGTGACAGAACGTGTGCGGAAGAACGCCCAGGTTGTCAGCGATGCTGCCTACAAAGGGGTCCATCCTCACATCGTGGAGATGGACAGGAGACCTGGGATCATCGTTGGTAAGCTCAGTGCTTCCCTGCAGGTCTGCACAGTTTAAAGTAAAACTGCCTTAGACATCCTCCTCCTCTTGTTTGATGGTCCAGTAGAAAATGGGCCATAGGCAAGTTTTATGGTGTGAACCTTGTTGAATCAGGTGATGGGAGTCATATTCACTAGGTATCATTGTAGATCCTTTCTGTTTTTCAGCATTTTCCCTCTTTTATAACGTTCTTGTCTTAAGAATATTCTTGCTTGTTAAAGGTAGAATTAATTCACACATTAGACAGGGATGAAAGCAGTGATTAAGCAATTACTTTATTTAGCTTGTGTATCTGATCAGTATACTAACTGCAGACTCTACATAAGGGGCAGAAATGACAGAAGCAATTGCATTTAGGCCCTAACCAAAAGTAGACATGCCATAGATTCTCATGAGGTTCCATTATATCAATAGCTTAGGTATTTTCTAATATTATTTCTGACCTGGAATAATTGAGAGCTTCCTGAAAGTCCCGTTAGTCTGAGCAGAAGGAATCATCTCTACTTGCTATCTGTTTTCTGTTGTCAGTCAGGGGAAATCTTAGGAAAACAGTGTTGAAAGAGGGATGAACATCCAAGACCATCCTGAAGTCCAGATGGGATTGGAAAGTTTCTGATTTTTTAGTATCTGACACCTATTGTTCCAAATTGAGCTTCTCAATTTATGTAGCTAATTCAGTAATAATTTGGGTAATCATGTGACATGCTTCTCAGTCCTTTCAGGTGACCTTTCAGGTGGTCTTCTCAGGTAAGGTATTATTTAAGGGGACTAGTAAAAGGCCAGTGAGAGGGGTGTTTGGTTAAGAAACTGTATATTATTTAACAGGTAATATCTTAGTTTGAAATGATAGTTGAAGTGAGGCCACGGAGTTACTTGGATGATTACTAAAGGGTCTCTGGAAGTATTTTTCGAATAGGGATTCTAGATGTTTTTGTGGGCAGCCGATTGCTATGCTGATCTTCCCATGCTGCTTGCTTAAAAGGATCACATTAAGTTGGATGGATAAATTCTGATGTTTTCATTGAAAGTAACAGAAATACCAAGTTTCATTACTTTGTATTTATATTTCACATGGCGAAGCTCTAATTCATCTCATGAGGTGGAAATGCTGTCTTCACAACATAGCTGTGGGCCTCCCTCCCCCAAATTGCAGGCTGAAATGAATTCCCTGCCAGAAACTTTGAGATTCTCTAAACTTTGACCTCTAAGAATTCAGCTCATTACCTTTGAGATAGAAATCATTAATATTTTAAGTACCTAAGATGTATAGCTCTAACTTACCCATTTACTGGATAATTCAGAAGTCATTTTTATTTTTTCCTTATTAGGAGAAACTGTTTTTAAGTGAGCACTTGCCTATAAAACCACACAATGGAGTATAGTCAACAAATGTAAAAGTTCTGTGCCAGGCATAGAAATCTGGGCTGAACTTTTCTCAGTAATTTGGGCTAAGTCAATTGTGCTGCTCCCATTTGTGTTGATCTTTATTAGTTGTATAACCTTGGTCAAGATAATTCAATCTCTCTCTGCTTCAGTTTCCTCATCTATAAAATCTAGATCCTTTTACCTACTTTAATGTTACGAAACATAAATGAGTTGTGTTATAACTGAAAATAGTGCCTGGCATACAGTAAGCACTAAATAACATTCATTAAAAACAGATGTCCAGTCCGAATTTACTATTACAGTAAGTCCTTGTTGTCGACAATAGATTCATAGAAACTGCAACTTTAAGCAAAATTCTGCCTAACAAAAGCAAGACCTCAAGTAATGTTTTGTTCGGTATTGGCTGGGCCTCGCTTTTTCTCATCTACATTAAACTAAATGCCTTGGATAAAATAACATTATTTGTGGATCTACTGTAATAATTTTTACTCAAGATCCATTTCATCTGCATGTCCATAGATTGGTTTCTATTTTCCTGTAGTTGGTCAGGTTATTTTAGGACCTGAAAACCCTTTGTTGGTGAGACTGATAAATCTGGAAGTTACTCATTAGATTTATTTTGCCTCCAACTAAAATAGGAGTAGAAGGTGGCTTGCAGTCCAGTTACTGGCCACAGCCTGGGCTCCACCGGGAGGAGGAAGACGCCTCCCTTATTCGTTCCCACCCCCTTGCTTCTGGGCCGGTGCCCTATGGCACTTTTCTGACCCACGTAGCTTATGCGGGTTGCCTTTATTTGCCCCTCAGAATGCAAAGGGGATTTGCCACTTGCCTACATTTCCATTTGTCTCTTACAGGGAGAGACGTTTGTTTGTTTCTTTTGTTTTCTCAGGCAAAAACCTCTCAGTCACTGCCTATGAATGAATGACTCACATGTGTTTCATCATCAGTTTTAGTCAAACATCTTACTGAGTTCAGCTGGAGCAGAGCAGGCGCCCAGGGAGGGGCGCTGGGAGAGGGCAGCTGCAGAGAGCTGTGTGCTGTGCCTGTGTCAGAGTCACAGGCCCTACTTGGAAGGTCAATGGAGAATAAACTATAGGCGACTTACCGTTTGATCGCCACGTTTTCGAAACAAATCCTTGTGACCCGACGCCCTTTCCTTCTCCCCTGAAGTCTGCAACACACTGGGTTGCTTAATACATGTTTGCTTTTTATATCCACCCCTTTTCAGCCACTTGCTGGGCTCTCTTTGGTGCTGACATTGTTTTTTAATCATTCTTGATTTGTTCATTTCTTCCTTTTTGGAAAAAGACCTCAAAGTTTGGCGCACAGACCCTGGCTCCATCTTCGACATTGATCCCCTGGAAGACAATATTCAGTCCAGAAGTCTCCATATGCTCTCTGGTACTGCTTACATTTTTGAGTGTCTCTCCATTTCTGTGCTTTTGTCCTGAAAGTGAAGCTACTCTGTTCTGTAGAGGCAAATTGTGCCAACTGTGTGTAATGTAAATTTTAAAGTGGATTCAAAACCCAAAAAGTCCTGTGCTATTTTAAAATACCACTCATCATTTATGAAAACAAAATTTGCAAAAGGGTTTTGAATACATCTTCCATTGGTTGTTCTACATTCATTTAAAAAGGAATATAGACCATACTTACATATGCTTTTTATTAGTGAATATGATTTAAAGGTTTTCTGAGCTTACAAATACTGTTCTTTGGAGTGCAATAAACCTTTGAGATTTGTTTTATGAACAATACTGTTATAACATTTTAAAGGTAGATTTAAAGAAATATCTTAAATCAAGGGGCACATTTTCTGTATAGCATTATAAATATCTTAAAGTAGATTTTACCTTTGAGTTTTTATAAAATGCAAAATCTGTAGTCCATGTAGGACGTTTATTTGACTTTTCACTTTGACTGTTTATAATTAAAGGCAAGACCTGATCGGTTTGGACATTTTGAACTTTCAGGCCTTGTTTAACAAAATTCAAACTTGGAGAGCTATACAATTTTTAAAACAATGTAGTAGGTAGATCATCTAGGTCTTGATCTAACCCTGATTTTTACTCGAGATTTAATTGTTGATATTAATAGAATTAAATGCTCAAGGCAAGGTAGGAATTGTGATACTTCTCTAGTTGATTTGATCCACATCAGAAGCTAAACTGTATCATCTACAAAGCAAAGGCAATAAATATTGTATGCTTGGTGATGCTCGAAAGCAATTATTTTTAACAGACATTATCTTTGGTGGAAATTCTTAGTTTCCCAAGTTTTGTTAATCTCCCACTCCCCATCTTTCCTTTACAAGTTGATAAACTAGGATAAATGATCATTAAATCATTTATGTATCCCATACCATTATGCACAAATTTGGAAGTAGGTATTAGAACTTAAAATTGCTGAGTTTATCCATTACATGTTCATTTGTGAATATTTTCCCTCCAATATAGAAAAGGCGAGTCAATACAGGAGACACCGATCTCGATCTCATTCCAGCAGTACTTTTGGTACAGGGCTGGGCGATGACAAGTCAGAAATATCTGAGACTTACCCTAGCTTTTCATGCTGCAGTGAGATGACAAGACCATCTGATGAAGGAGGTATCAAACACTTACCATTCAGAGAAGATGAATCCATTTTTAAAAATGTGTTATAGCATGTTTTTAACATCATCTTCACTTTGCACATACATTCTAGAACTTTTTGAAAATTTCTAATTATGTTTAGCAATTTAAGTCATTTTTTTAAAAACCCTACTAATTCGCACGTTTGTTTTTCCTGTCTTCACTCTTTTCACTGCAAACAGATTTTTTAACCATGAAAGTGTCTTGGGACCCACTATGTGAGTCTGTTTCATGGGGCTCGTGTGTGATGGATATATACCGAGTTGTGGTGGAAACTTAAATTCTGCCAAGTTTATATCTGATTTGCATTAAGGAAAATCAATCTTACAGTTATATTTGAGAGACTGAGAGGTTTCTATGAATTTGTATGTGTTTAAATATTGATATACAGCTGCAGACAGAGTTAGAGCTTGCCAAAGAAGGCATTGGGTAGGATGCTGGGGATATGAAATTTTTTTTAAAAGATTTATTTATTTATACTTACAGAACCGGGGTATAGGCCAGAGCTACAGGGGAGGTGGGAGGATCCACCAGAGACAGAGCGGGGAGCAAGGCAGGCATATTGATGGAGTACACTGCTGAGGGGAACAGTGGAAGAGACAAGAGGGGTCTGCTGTGCCATGTGGGTCACCTCTCTGGCCAGGGATCAAAATCATGTGGAGGTGGCTGCGTCTGGCATTGTCTTGCTGCGCTTTAACCTATTGTACCACCAGGGAAGGCCTGATAGAACATCTTTTTTTTTTTTTTTAGATTTATTTATTCATATAGAACTGGGGTACAGGCCAGAGACGCGGAGGGTGAGAGGATTTACCAGAGACAAGAGTGGGTAGCAGAACAGGCAGATGGACGAAGTACACCGCTGAGGGAAGCAGCGGGCGGGTCAGGAGAGGTCTGCCTCGCCATGTGGATCTCCTCTGGGGCAGCCGGGTATCGAATTCATGCAGAAGTGGCCTAAGCTTCTCAG